GACCATTCTCCCCATTTTACAGAGGGGGAAACTGAGGCACGGAGAGGGGAGGTGATACGCTCAGGGTCACCCAGCAGGCCAGTGGCAGAGCTGGGAACAGAACCCAGGTCTGCTGAGTCACAGTCTGGTGCTCTAGTCATTACGTCTCACTGCTTCAGGCTGAAACAGCTACATTCAGCTGTGACCTAAGCGAGGCTTCGCCCCGGAGCTCAGAGAGGAAAGGGTTAACCTTCGCTGGCCCGTCCCTGGGGCAGCTCCTTACTGCGGCCAGCCTTCCCCCGTGGACACAGTGAAGAGAGTCAGGAGGGCCCACAGCACGTTGTCGTAGTGGAACTCGTATTTCTTCCACTCCCGGCTCTGGGCTTTCACTTCGTTGTCCTTCTCATAGACCAGGTACTCGCCCCTGGGGACGAACAGACACCGTCAGCTGGACAGCCAGGAGGGCTGGGGCACAGCATGGGCTCCGAAGGCCAGCTCCTGAGCTCACTGGCTTGGGAGCAGATCCTGAGCGACTCTGGGTTCACGCTGGCTAGGGGGCTCGATTCTGCTCCTGTTCGTGCTGGCTTCACGTTTGTGTAATGCCACTGCAGCAACTGCTGATCGACGCCCCCGTCAGCGAGTAGGGACTCGGAGCCTTTGCCGTGGGCTCCGCTCGCCACCACGCCTGAGCAGAGCTGGGGAGCAGTGGGGTGTGGGAGGGCTGACAGGGCACTGCAGTCTGACCCCCAGCCACCTGGCCCAGGGTAACTGAACCCTGAAAGGAGGCAGCTTTAGCTCAGATCACTGGTACCAGGTCTTAAAAGGCGCAGGGGCCCGCGCTCCACGACGCCCCCTTCCCTTCCCTCTCCTATGTCAACTGGGCCAGAGGGAACCCTGCAGGGGCACTCTCCGGCTGTTTTCAGATCACTCTCTACGTCTCATAATCCACCCCACTGACTTTAGGGCCTGATTCGGATCGAATTTTCTCCAGTGTCAATAAGCGTCACTTTACTGAATCCTGGAAACTACCCCAGAGCGAGAGGAGAATCAGGCCGCTAGAGTCAGAACTGCTGACCCATCTGGGGCCTCTCACCCTGATGTAAATCAGAAATAGCCCCACGGATGTCAATGGAGCAATACCAATTCACACCATCAAAGGAACTGGCCCCATTGACTCCACTGCAGCTCTGGCCAATTTACACCAGGTGGGGAGTTACCCAGGTGTCACATGGGCGTATGTGAGAGAAGCCAGCCATTGTAATTTCTACCCCATTCCTTACACACTTGCTGTGAATCTCCACCTACCCAAGAGCCACGGGGCAAAGAAAGCTGCCAAGAGGGACATGATAACAGTAAGTGGGTGGGAGCCACTCTAAGGGAGCGTAGGAACGCCAGTGCAAACTCATAGAATATCAGGGTTGGAAGGGACTGCAGGAGGTCATCTAGTCCAATCCCCTGCTCAATGCAGGACCGATCCCCCGACAGATTTTTTCCCCCAGATCCCTAAGTGGCCCCCTCAAGGCTTGAACTCACAACCACAGAGCAGGCCAATGCTCAAACCACTGAGCTATCCCTCCCCCCTCAATGCTAAGTGAGCAGAGGGTGAGGTCCAGGGAATGGGTAAGGCACCACCTCTGCATGGGGTGCCACCTTTGTGTAGCTAGGCTACCCTCCAAGCGATCACAGGAGCTTTGCACCGCGCCCCGGAGGCCAAGCGGGAGAAGCGAGGCCACCTGCTGAGAAGGTGCTGGGGAAGCGCGAGGAGGCCAGGGACGGGCTAGGCCAGGGATGGGCTGGGCCATGGCCAGGTGCTGAGAGACAGAGGAAGGTGGCTCCGTACCTACAGTCCTTCTCAAACTCCTTGGACTCATCCGTGCAGTAGAAGAACTTGCCCTTGAAGAGCTGGACGGCCACCACGGCGAAGATGAACATGAAGAGCATGTAGACGATGAGGATGTTGAGGACGTTTTTGAGAGAGTTCACCACGCAGTCAAAGACAGCCTGGAAAGGACAGGGAGCCCAGTCAGGACTGCAGAGTCCAGACTAAACTTGCTCCACCCTCGAGTCCCACTTGGCCTGGCCCCATCTCCACGTAGCCAGAAAACAGCCCCTTTCCCAAGCATGGTGCTCTCCAGTCAGGTCCACCTGGGCCTTTAGGAACTGGCTGCCTATTTTTGAGGGGTTAAATCCCCAGAGATTAGCCTCACTGAAGTCACAGAGCAAGGCTGTGCCAGAGCTGGGGATAGAATCCAGGAGTCCTGGTCTTCAGGTCCCCTGCTCTACCTCACGAGACCTCCCAGAATCAAGAACAGAACCCAGGAGTTCTGACTCTGCACTAACAACTAGAGGCCACTCCTTCCCGTAGCTGGGAATAGACCCCAATCTCCTGTCTCCCTTTTCTGACCCCCCACCTGATCCTGCAAACCCCTGCCACTCCCCTCAGGCAGCCCCAACTCCTTTATGTGCCCTCAACCATCCCTGCACCTACCTTGAGCTTTGGCAATCGCTTGATGGTTTTCAGGGGCCTGAGGACGCGGAGGACACGCAATGATTTGATGGTGTTAATGTCCTTCCCTTTGCTGCTGCCTCTGTAGAGACACGTTGGGTGGGGGTGGGAGAACGGGGAGAGAGAGAGGCGATGAGGCCCAGGCCCCTTGTGCCATTCTAGACACAGGGTTCTTCACTGAGGTCCATTCCCTTGGGCGCGGGGCACCCACCTGTTGGTGGGAGACTCTGGGTTACTGGGTCACTCCCAAGTGACTCATCTACCAGCCTGAGCCATCCCTTCTCTCTCCTCCTCACCTCTTGCACTCATCAGCAGCCATTAGGAGGTGCTGTTATCACACACCACTAACCTGGCCCTTTTCTCACTGTCCTGGAAAAGGTGGCGCTCAAGAACCTAATCTATATATTTTATGTAGACACCTATGTATCTGCAGTTTCTACCTATCCATGCATCCATGGACCCATCCATCCACTCTACCTACCTATCTATAGTGTCTTTCCATCCATCCATCCACTCTACCTACCGATCTATGGTGTCTTCCCATCTGTCCATCCACAGATCCATCCATCCATCCATTCTACCTACCTATCTATGGTCTTTCCATCCATCCATCCACTCTACCTACCTATCTATGGTGTCTTTCCATCCATCCATCCACGGATCCATCCATCCATCCACTCTACCTACCTACCTATGGTGTTTTTCCATCCATCCATCCACAGATCCATCCATCCATCCACTCTACCTACCTACCTATGGTGTCTTTCCATCCATCCACTCTACCTATCTATGGTGTCTTTCCATCCATCCATCCATCCATCCACAGATCCATCCATCCATCCACTCTACCTACCTACGGTGTCTTTCCATCCATCCACTCTACCTATCTATGGTATCTTTCCATCCATCCATCCACAGATCCATCCATCCATCCACTCTACCTACCTATCTATGGTATCTTCCCATCCGTCCATCCACGGATCCATCCATTCATCCACTCTACCTACCTACCTATGGTGTCTTCCCATCCATCCATCCACGGATCCATCCTGTCTACCTACCTACCTATGATGTCCTTCCATCCATCCACTCTACCTACCTATCTTTGGTGTCTTTCCATCCATGGATGCATCCATCCATCCTCTCTACCTACCGACCTATCCATCCATCCATGGATCTGTCCAGCCATC